GATTTAGGAAACAAAATGGTAAAATATGAATGCTTAAAAACAGATTATATGCATGGTACTCTGAAATGTTGATTTTTAAATTTTGATTTTGCTTATAGTTCAGCAGCCAGATCCAAATCAGCCAAAGCCTGAAGGAAATCAGATGGTTATGCTGAAAGGGGAACCTCTGGCTGTGGGAACTCCCTGGCCTCCGTCACTGCTGGCTGCCCTGCAGCGGTGGGGCACAACACAACCAAAAGCCCCTTGTCTGACTGCCTTGGATACAACTGGAAAGGCCACCTGCACTCTCACCTATGGCAAGTGTTAGCATGATTGTGCTGCTGGCTTACCTATGACTTATGACACATATTTTACAGTGTATGCAGGTATCTTTTAAAAATACCATAAAACAAATTCCTAAGAAATCAATGCAGCTGGCAAATAAGTAGAATATCACCTCACTCCTGGTGCCTCTCCCCCGTTGGCTGATTGATGGTGACCACCACCACTTTGGTTTTGAGTGCTTTGAACCTTCTGTAAATGTATTCTGAACAATGTAGTTTAGTTTTATCTTATTTTGAACTGGTATAAATGAAATCATGCAGTTATGTATGTTTTTGTATCTGGCATCTTTTGGTTCCATATTATGTTTTTATGTAATACAAATTGTAAGCGTGGGTACAGCTTGATGTGTCTCACAGAGTGACAGGGTCCTATAATAAGCAGCACTCGGAGCACAAGTCTTCCTACATCCCCAGGCCCTTCATCTCATGCTCCTTCCAGCACTGATAGCCTCCCACACCCAAGGATAACTGTTGTCCTAACTACTTCACACCACTGGCTTTATCTATTTTTACATTTTATGCAAACAGGATTATATAAAAATTGATTTTTTTGCACTTCTATTCATTTACTCAGCATGTGGACTCCTCCATTGTTGTATGGAGTTATAGTTAATTTATTCTCATTGATGAATATTATTTTATTAGATGCTAGTTATTTATGCACTCTCTAGTAGATGGACATGTGGATCTTTTCCACTTTGGGGCCATTGTGCATGGTGTGGTTATGAACATTCTGATGTGAGTCTTTGGTGAGCACATTCAGGAATTTGTGCTGGGTATAAACAGAGAAGTGTAATTTTCCAGCTTTGGGATGTGGTGCCAGATGGTTTTCCAATGGGGCTGCAGCAGTTTCCACTCCAACAGCAATGCACAGTTTCAGCTCTGTGTTCTCACTGCTTATTTCATTTTTGTTGAGCTGTCAGGTTTTAGTTCTAATTTTCATAAGATTATTGGCTATTCGAATATCCTCTTTTATAAACTTTTCAAATCTTTGCCTGATTTTTCTATTTGCTTGCTAACACTTTCTTATTTCTTTGTATATTTCAGATACATATCTTTTGTCAGATACATGTTTTGCAAATATCCTCTCACTATTTGGGTTACCTTTTAACAGTTTTCATTGTGGTTTTTGGTGATGGAAAAGTTTTAATTTAGTCTAACTTATCTGTTTTTTTCTCCTTTATTGTGGTTAATTTTGTCCAGTTTAGAAACTCTTTGCCAAACTTAAGGTCAGAAAGAAAGCCTCCGGGCAGGGCACAGTGGCTCATGCCTGTAATCCTAATTACAGGATTTTTGGGAGACCAAGGAGAGTAGATCACTTGAGCTCAGGAGTTCAAGACCAGCCTAGCCAAGAGTGAGATCTCGTCTCTAAAAAATAGCCCGGCGTTGTGGTGGGCACCTGTAGCCCCAGCTACTTGGGAGGCTGAGACAAGAGGATCGCTTGAGCCCCAAGAGTTTTGGGTTGCTGTGAGCTATGACGCCTCAGCTCTCTACCCAGGGTGACAGAGTAAGACTCTGTCTCAAGGCTCGGCGCTTGTGGCTCAAGTGGCTAAGGCACCAGCCACATACACCTTAGGTGGCGGGTTCAAATCCAGCCC